GGAGAGACCCGTCTTTGCAAAGGCGGCGGGGGCGCCCGGAACCGCAGCTCCACTTATTTCCTCCCTGCTGTGCAGCCCCCGGGGTCAGCACTCTCCGTTTCCGGTGCGGGACCTGCACCCTGGTCTCACACAGACACGTCCCTCAGTCGGACGCCTCGGGGCTTACTGGCCCAGCGACTTTCCGTCCAAACCAGCACCGCCTAGGGCGCTGCTCCTGGTGGTTTGGGGTCCACGTCCCTACCCGTCCCCGCCGGCTCCCTGGCGTCCAATCCGTTGCCTTGTGGCAAGCCACACCCTGATCCGACCCCGGGCTCCCACCACGGAGACCCCCCTCGGAGAACAGCAGAGTGCCGGCTCTCTTTGGGGCTGCAGGCCTCTCAGACTCCCACCGACCGTCTGTCCATTTGCAACCAAGTTCTTTGTGATCACCCCTCCCACCCCCTTCCCCTGGCTGTCCTGGCCAAGCAGCTTCCTCCCACGGCCTAGCCTGCCGGCCGCCCTGGTCTCCCACAGCCCAGAGCACACAGCCGCATTGTCTGGGTTATCTGCACTTTGTTATGAGTGTTTGATTTTATGGGAGCGGATTGGGATGAGAAACTCTTTGGGGAGCGGCAGCAGGCGTGACTGACTCACCCGGGGCTGGGCCCTTGCTGCTGCCAGTTCAAGGGCACTTGGGAATTCAAGAAAGGGGGCTTGGTTTCCCCTGCCAGGAAAATGGAGGGCAACAGGGGCTTCTGTCCTTGAACACACGGGATGTGGTTTATTCAGAGCCCACCAAACCTGGGGCCTGTCCAGGGTGAGTGGGGTGCTGCCTACTCCCTCCACTTGTAGTCAGTAAACAGTCAGACAGGCCAAGGGGCAGGGTGTGGAGAAGAGCTACAGCCAAAGTAGCAAAGGCACCCTTGCTCCCCACCCCATGCCGGGGGAGCGGATGTGTGTGTGGCAGGGTGCACAGAGACTAAGGTGGACCCTGAGGATCCACTGACCTGTGTTGATCCTGAGCACTGATCCTAAATGGCCCAGAGGCTGGCATTGACCTGTGTCTGGCTGGGCAGTGGTCCTGGAGTCTGGTCCCACAGAGGCCTTGCTGAGGCTAGCTGGCCTCAAGAGACACACTCCCTAGCCCCCCCAGCATTAAACTCCAGGCCTGATATCTGGCTGCTGGTTAAAGGGAGCTGGGGAGGAAGGAGTGTCCATCTTCTCAGGCCTGGGCCTCACTGCCAGGCTGAAGGATGGTCAGAGATGGTCTTCAATTTCCTCAGGCTGGGGGTCCACGCAGCAGGTGGTTCTGGGAGCAGCCTCCACATGCAGCTTGGAGAGTAGCCGGGCCGTCTCTTGGGTGATCTCAAAGTGCTTGGGCAGTGGGGTGCGGCGCAGGGGGCTGCTCTCAGGGGCGGCACCAGCAGGGTCAGCCCCCCGCCCCCGCAAGCTCCCACAGGGCACTGGTGTGACAGGGGTCTCTTCACACAGCTTGGAAGCTACCAGGGCCAAGCTGGACAGCTGGTGGGTGACAGGCCGAACTCCTCCCCGAGGGTACTTCACGGGCTGGCGGCTGAAGTGGCCACGGGACTGCGTTCCCAGGGGAGCATCCTCGGGACCTCGGCTGGATGCTGCGGAGATGGCATGGCCAACACTGAGTGTCGTCCCCCTCCCAAGGCCGCTGCGCCAACCCCCAAGAACCCTCTCCCAGCTCAGGCAGCCTGGGATAAGGTACCCTTAGAAATCCTGGGCTGCTCCCCATCACACTCACCTTGGCCTCCCCCGTCTCTGGGGTCTGCAGCCACTTCCTCTCTCTGCTCACTCTGCAGGGGTAGGCTCTGCAGTGAGAGACCCAAGGATCAGAGCTGGGAGAAGCCCGGCTCCCTCAGATACTTGGAGCACTGGGGGTTTACTCCTGGACTAGAAAAAACCCCACCGCCAACAAGTCAGCTCCATCCCTAAAGGCCAGGGTAGAACTGCCCCTGTCAGGTTCTGAGGCTGTGAATCTTTACTAGAGCAGAGAGCCTCATCTGTGTCCTTCGCAACAGCTGGTAGATTTAAACCGCTGACCTTGAGATGTCAGGCGTGGCCACTACCCTACTGGGGCTCCTTTGCAGAGGGTCTGGGGAGGAACGGATGATGTCATTAAGTGTCCTGCTGGGGCCTCTCCTTGGAGAAGCAGCATTTAACTCCCTGCAGGCTTGGAGGAGACAGGCCTGCAGCCAGGCCCAGGCAGTAGAGTGACTCACTCCTTTCCACGTCAGGCCCACTGATGCCTGTGAACACATGTTCCCTTTCAGTTCTGCTTCCGCCTCCCTCGGTTCTTGGCTTTGTGTTCTCGATGCTCTACCTGGAGCTAGCTGGTGACGGATTACCAGCCTGAGTTCCTCCTGTGTGTCAGGCACTGGCATTCAGCACCAAGGAGCTGCTGTGGGGCGGGGCTTCAGCTCTGCTAAAGGCTTGCTGAGGTTCCCAGGAAGTCGATCGAGTGCCCCCTGCGCCCTCGTGGCTCAGTGGTTAACTAAGGTAGCTTGGCTGCTAACCAGAAGGTTGGTGGGTCAAGCTCCCCAGCCCCTACCTGCGCAGGAGAGGATGGCAGTCAGCTTCCGTAAGACTGCAGCCTTGGAAACCCCACCGGTGGGGCAGTTCTACACCCCGTCCTCCAGGATGGGGGCATTGGAACTGGCTGGAGCACAGCAGCTTTGGTTTGGGGCTTGACGTAGGAAGTTTGTGGTCACTGGCATCCTTTCGGCCACCATCCCCCTTTCGCTCATTCCTGTGCCAGGCTGTGCCCCAAACACCCCAGGCCCTCACCTCAGGGCCTCGCAGGGTCTGTTCCTCTGCAGGAACACTGTTCCTTTGTCTTCAGTGACCCCTCACCTCCCTCCAGTGTGCTGCTTCTCACCGCCTCCACGAGGCCTGTCCGAAACCACCTAACAACTGCTCCAAGCTGTTCTCCGTTCCCCAGAGCCTGCTGCCCCACACACTCCCTTCTCCCTGGTACCCTTCACCCCTGGCCTCAGTTAGCTACCTTTGCATCAGATTGGTGGTCTCCTCTGGTCTTGCCCCAACAGGAGTGGGTGGGGATGGTGCTCAGCCCACTGTGCTCTGCTGGAACACCCACAGCGAAGCTATAGGGATTTGAGGCTGCCCAGTGGCGCTGTAGAACTGTGCTCCACAGGGTTTTCAAAGCTGTGCCCTTTCAGAAGCAGCGGATCCCCAGGCCTGCCTTCTGAGGTGCCCAAGGGTAGACTTCAACCACCAACCTTCCCATCAAGCACTTAATTAGTGGGGCCAGAGTAGGTGCCTTATAAAACTGCTGGCCTCCAGTGGAAGAGGGAAAGATCACCCTGTGATGTCACCCTTGTTGTTCATTCCTCCGCGAGCACCCACCACTCGGGGCTTCCCCGTTCTGGCCAGAATGACACAGGTCACTTAATATAGGGAAGGAGGGGCTGAGAAAACAGGGGAGGCAAAGGAGGAAGCCGCAGGAGAGGGACCAGGCAGCCTGTCCCTACCTTTGGGGGTGCAGCCTCAGGTTGCTTCTCCAGGGCACTCGGGGGCTCGGGGGCTTGGCCGGGATCTGAGGCCCAAGCAGTGAACGGGGCATCTGGGTCCAGGTGTCCAGGTATTGGCTGGGAGCTGGTGGTGAGGGGCTCGGGGGCCGGGCTGGGGTTGTAGGATGGGACCTCCGTGGCCGAGGGAAGCTCATCCATCCCAAAGATCTGCTCATAGTGCACGATGAGGAACTCCACTAACTGGGCCTGGTGTCCTGAGTCCAGCAGGCAGGCGACTGGGCCGGCCCCAGCAGCCCCTGGGCAGCCCGGCGGCCGCAGCAGCGTTGGCCCAAACACAATGCCCAGGTTGTTGGCAGACATCTTGTTTTCCTCAAACTGTGCAGCCACCCTGGGGAGAGCGTGGGGAGAAGGTGAAGGGCAGGCACCTGGCCATGGGCCTCAGTGGTGACATGCCCAGGGCACCGGAAGTGCGGGGTTTGGCACGTTCTTTGAGTCTGGCAAGTGCATGCCTGGGGCTGGAGGGTCAGTACCTAAAGTCAGGAGTCATGTATTGAAGGTTCAGAGTTCAGAAAACACCTGTCAAAGATCAGAGGTCAGTGTCCGGGGGTTAGCTCTTGAGGTTCTTGGTTACACGTCCAGAAAGGGGGGGAGGGGTGCTGTCACCCAGGCTATGTCTCAGGTCGGAGGTCCTATGTCAAGGGTCACCAGTGCCCACCTGAACAGATGGGCCACCAGGTGCCGCAAAGTGTTGTAGTTAGAGTCAGGCAGCTGAGCCAATAGAGTCTTGAGTGAGCAGATGACCTCAGAGCTGGGGCTGGGGCTCTCAGGACTGTCCCTAAGGTCTGCATGCAGGGTCTTGGCCAGAGAGATGAAGGCGTCGTAGAGGTGGAAGGGGACCACGGAGTCGTTGAGCTGGGGGTGCAAAGGATGGGGGTGAGCTCGGAGGCCCGCAGCCCAGCCCCTGCTCCCTGTGGCCCCTGAGCACCCACCTCTTGAAGAAACCGCTTGAGGACCCCCGAGACGTCATGAGGTGAATTCCCCGACAATTCCACTAATGCTCGGCCGTTCTCAAAGGCCTGGCATAACCGCTCCACGCGCACCCGGGAACCGCTGATTCGGTAAATGCCCTGCAGGAGAAGAGGGACACTTGGCTCAGTGACTCTGGCCATTAGCAGGGCCGGTCCCCTTGAGCACTGGGTCAGCGCGGGGGCGGAGGAATCAAAGTAGCACCTGCACATCCAGGGCACGGTGCTCTATCTCTGCTGTGCACCTGGTCACCACAAAGGGCACTTCTTCCGGGAAGTCCCTGGGCACCTGAAGGAAGTCCACCCCAAAGAGCGGGGTCCGTGGCGGGAGCCGCTTGTGTCCGCAGAGGATCAGCAGTGTCTCCAGACAGCGCTTGTGACAGGTCAGGAGGCACTGCGGGTGGAGGGACGCAGGGGCCCGGGCTCAGAGAGTTCCTCGGGGCGCAGCTGGGGGAAAGGTAGGTCCCAGGGATCCACAGGGGTCGAGAGATCATGGGAAACCCCGTGACAGCCCTGGGGACACAAGTGCCCATGTCAGCAGAGGTCAGCAGGTCACACACACACATACACACACCTCCTCACACTCGGTCCCGCTGACCATGAAAGCCTCGCACTCTCGGCACTTGGCCGGACCCCGCAGGCGCCGCAGCCGGTGCGTCTGCGCCGCAGTGGACAGTGTCCATTTCCGGAAGGGGCTGGCCGTCCCATTCTCCAGTCCATCTCCCAGGTCTGTGGGGAGCAAGAGTGAGGGTCCTGACCCCCCACTCCACCCCACCCCACCCCACATCCAGGCTCACCTAGGTCTCTCTCCTCCAGGTCATCTGAGGACTCCGTGCCCATAGATGAGGCCTTCACCAGCCGCCGTGAGCCTGAGCCGCGGACCAGAGGGTCACAGGGGCCCTGGGGAGGTCACCCTTCTGGCTTCCAGAACCACCCACAAATGCCCTCAGAAGGTGACCCCAGGAGGGGGCTTGGAGAAGGGGTTAGTGGCCTTGGGAGTTAGTAAGTTGTTCAGAAGTGGCATCTGGAGATTGAGTTAGAAACTGAGGAAATGGATCAGCGGGTGGGGTGGGAGGTCAGAGGGCAAAGTACAGGTTAAAGATGGTGGTGGGTAGGGTGGGGTGTTAGAGCTTGACCAGGGGCCTGGAGTTTGGTCAAAGGTCAGGAGGGGGAGCAGCCCCAGGTCCTGGGCTCACCTGGGCTAGAAGTTGGAGAGTCCAGGGAGCGAGACTCGCTGCCACCACCTATGCTTTCCACATCACTGCCTGGGGCAGGGCCGGGGGGCCCTAGGAGAGAACAGGGGGGTCAGGTTGGCCACAGCCGAGCACCCCTGCCCACCTAGCCATCCCAGCACTCACCCTGCCAGCGAGGGCCTGCATCCTCCCAGGGGCCTGGCTCAGCTGCCCCCTCATCCAGCCGGGGAGGGAGGGGGCCTGAGAGCTTCTTCCTAGTGTCCAGAGGGGAGCTGAGACAGTTTGGGGGGTTCATTCTCCAGTCTGGTGGCAGCACTCCAGTGCCCCATCCAGATGGTCCAATACTGTGTCCTGATGCCCCTAAGCAATGAGGGCCTAGGAGGGCAGTCACCATCCACTTCAATCCTCCCAGACCTAGGAAACTGACCCCGCCCCCCCCATCCCCACCCCCCAAGAACCAGAGTCTTGGGCACTGAATCTCAAGTCCAGGCTTCGAGTTCAATGTCCCACAACTAAAGTTGAAAACTGGTGCTTGGGTCCCAAGGGACTCACCCAGCCCCGCCCCCAGCCCACCTGTGCGCTGGTGGCACAAACTCCTGGAAGGAGAAGGCAGGCGGTGGGGGCAGCGGGCCCGAGGGCCCCAGCGCCCGCACGAACTCCTGGTAGCGCTGGCCAGGTTCGAAGGGCACACAGCACTCGGCCAGAGCAGAGAAGGCACGGGGTCCATGCTCAGCTTGTGCGCCCCGTAGCCCAAACAAGCCCAGGGTCACCTGTGGGTGGAGTCGGTATGCAGGTCAGAGATGGATGGGGCCAGATGGCCTGGGGTGGGGTCAGATGGGGCAGGGTCAGATGGGGCGGGACTGTGACTGGGAGGAGGTTGAGAACTTGATCTGTTGGCCTGGGGACTGGGGTGGAGCGATTTGGAGGTGGCCCAGCAGAGTCTGCAGGAGGCGGCTTGGGGGTGCTGGATGGGGCTCTGCCTTGGCCAAGTGGGCCTAGACGAAGGGACGCACCCTCTTGAGCACCTCGTCCCCCTGAAGCACCAGTTTGCGCACGTGGGACACGATCCGATGCTTGGTGGCCTCCAGGTCCTGCTGCCGCACATTGGCCTCACGGATGCAGGCCTGGTACAGTGCCTCGGCCTCCTGCACCTAGGGAAATTGAGGCAGGACAAGTGTGGGTCAGGGCAGGAGGGGGCCGCATCAGAGCTGGAAGCGTCCGCATGCTGGTCCCCAACCTTGGCCTGGGCCTCCTCTCGTGAGCGGCGGCGGCGCTCCTGCTGCTTGCTGGGTCCGGGGGAAGCCTGGGTGACCGAGTCCTCTGGAGACCCCTGGGAGCGAGCCTGCAGGTCCTCACTGCGCTGGACGTACTGGAGCTGGGCGCGCCGCAGTGCCTGCACCGCCTCATTCTGGGAAGGGGGACTGTTCAGTGCTGCCTCCACACAGAGCTGCGCCCCCCGAGTCAAGCCTCCCCACCCCCACCTCCGGCCTCACCATCCGCTTCTGCTCCTTGGTCCACTGATCCTTGAACTCCTTCCGCCACTTCTCAATCTCAGTCCTCTTGGCTGCCAGGGGCTGGCACGGGGGTGGGAGCAGGGATTGGGACAACTGCCTGCCCCTGAGGGGTCCACACAGGCCGTCCAGGGCCTGGAACGTGGCGTTTCCACGGCCACATGTGTTTCCTTTGTCGAACCCCTCCCTCCCCACGCCATGTCCAGGCAGAGTGTCAGTGGTCACCGCATGTCCTCTGAACGCCCCCTTGGCAAACAGCGTCCCATCAAAGGGAGCCTGATTTGAGTCTGTTGTGTGACCAAGGCCAGTGGTGAAGATGACAATGGTACCTTCCTCTGGGCCGCTATGGAGGAAATCCCGCAGGCGAGGAGGGCTGCCCCCCGCCCCACTTCTGCACTGTGCTGCCCCCTCACCTGGTAGTAGTCCCTCCTTTGCTGGGCCACTGTCTCCTGCGCCAGGATCCCGAGCGAGAGGTCATGCTCCAAGAACAGCGTGTAGATGTACTGCAGTGGCATGTGGCTCTGGGGATAGAGGGGTGGCAGGAGGGGGCTAAGGGCCTGGGTGGGGCTGGGGAAGGAGTGGGGGCTCACCTTAGGGCCTGCTTCTGGCTACCTGCTGGTGAATGGAACCCCTGCCGGCCTCTGCGATCTTCATGACACTCTTGGCAAACTCCAGCTCTGGGGAAGAGAGGGTATAGTCTGGACCCTGCTGGCCAGCAGGGGGCACTGCCTAAGGCTGGGGTGGGGGACAGGGGCTCTCACCATAGCTGGCTCTCTTCTCCGTCCAAGCCAGCAGCTCCTTGGCATAGCGGCTCCAGGTCTTGGCATACTCTAGAGCTGCGTCCACACCCCCCTTGGTCCGAACCAGCCGCAGGTCCAGTTCCTCCCCTGGGCAGACAGGAAGGCCCCTGACCTCTGCCCTCTGCCCTCCCTGAGCCCTTAGACCAGACAAGACCTTTGTGGTTTCTCCCAAACCCCTGGAGCATCGAATGTACTTCTTGCCTCTTTATGCTAACCGGTGACCACTGAAATGCCCATCTGGGTGCAGGGTTCCTTGAGGGCAGGCCTGGATCTGATCCATCATGGGCACCACCAGGTCTCTGGCACCCAGAACAATGCCTGACCCTGAAGAGGCATTTTCTGTCCCAAACATCCTGGTCACTAAGCCCCTCCCCGCTTACCTGTGAGGGGTGCAGGGCCCTCTGAAGGATGGCTCCAACAACTGGTCTGGCTGGTCTGGGGCAGAAAAGAGCCCTTATGAGCAAGCAGGGTAAGGGTCCCAGCCTGTGCCTTCCAGAGCCCAAGCATCCCTGAGACCCCCTCCCTGGGAGTCCACTCCACCTCTCTCACCACAGTATCTGTGGGGGCCTTGTCAGGCTCAGGGTCTCCTGAGAGCACAGGGTCTCCAGCCAGCATCTCAAGGGTCCTAGAAGGTGGAGGAATTGGGATGCTGTCTACCTCCACCAGCATGTCTTCTCTGAGGGTGCTGGGACCCCCAGGCCATTTGGGTGGGTGGTCCTGGATATCACATTTGGCGGGGCTGGCATCTCTGGTGTCTGGGTGTTTGGGGGACTCGGTAATTTTTTGACCTGGCTCGGGAAAGGAAAGGTCTCAGGTAAATTTGGGGTTCACAGAGTGGAAGTATGAGTCCCAAGGAGGACGTGGGGGTACTAAGGCCCGGGGACCCAGCGGTAGTGCACTGAGTCAGTGACTCCACCTCATCAGCTGCTCTGGGTAAGAAAGGCCCGGCAACGTGCTTCCATGGAGAAGACAGCCTTGGAAACCCTCGTCCTACAGGAACGCCTCAATGGCAGTGGGCTTGGCTTGGTTTGGGTCAACAGTGGAAATTCTCTGTGGATTTGCTGGGGGGTGGGAGTGTTGGTTATGGGAACATGTACGTGAGCTTCCATATACCAGGAAGACTTCTCGGGTTAGGAGTGACCGGGTGTAGGAACTTCCTAATGGGACTTCAGGCCTTGGGGTGCAGGGATCCCAACAGGATTTGGAGGGTGACCCAGGCTCAGACTCACACATTCCCCAATGAGATCTCAAGGTTGTCCAAGCTTCGGAAGATGTCACTGTACCTCTTCCTGCTCTCGGAAGCCGGGGGTAACCCTGGGGGAAAGGGCATTGTTCCTCTAGGGCCAACAGTGCCTCCCCCACCCACCCACGGCACCTCAGCTCATCGGTCTGGCTGGTTACGTGTGTGAGCCACTGTTCCCATCCCTCCTGGCCCAGTGGGGAGGGGGCTGTGTCTCTGAAGAGGGTGGGTGTCTGAGTCCAGATGGAGGCAGGTGGGATTGAGAGGGTGGCCTCAGGGCAGGGTAATGGCCCCAGAGCTGCTGTTGGGAGCAGACACCCACACAGCCCCAGACCACGAGGAAGCAGACAAAGCAGATGCCCTCAATGCAGCTGGCTTGACAATGCAGCCACATGGATTCTGCAGCAGGCAGATGGAAATACATGTCGTGCAGACGCGGGGAGGGGGGGGCCGCCTGTGGCAGAGCAGGCCCACAGGCAGGCAGGTTGAAGTCACTATGAGGCACACAGTGACACAAAGAGAGACGGAACCACCTCAGCCACATTTCTGCGGCCACCCCCGCCCCCTTCCAGGAGTCCAAGTTGAGGCTGCATCTATCTCAGGGCTATCTACAGAGGCGCCCTGCCGGGCGTCACCCTTTCCATCCACGGCAGTGACGGGGCCACCCTGCCCCCATCACAAAATTCAGAAGCAGAAGCGGCCACTTCCCCTTCCTGAACCCCCTCCCCCAGGCATCCGGGGTGAACGCTCGCACGGGGGCGGGGGTCCCGCCTCGGCATCTCTCTCGGGGGCCGGCTCGGCTTGAGATCCCCCGCAGGAAAGGGTCCCCGTCTCCTCCCCATTCAGGAGCTCCTCCGCCGGGGCTAGGGACAGGGACCGGGACCAGGCAGGGCTCCCTCGAACTGGGAAGTGGAGGACGAGAGTGGACGCCCCTCTCCGGGGTGGACCCCGACCCCCTACCCGGCTCAGCTGCGTCCATGGCCCGGCCCAGGGTTCCTTCGGCGCGGACGGGGATGGGGTCGCGCGCGCGCGGGACAGGCCCAGCTTGGATTTCCTGCGGCCGGCGCCGCCCGGGTTCCGAGGCCGCTCCGCCCCGCGGCCACGCCCCCGAGGCCACGCCCCGGCGGCCACGCCCCCGTCCCGGAAGCGCGGACCCAGCACCTGGCGGGCGCCGGGCGGAACCAGAAGGCCCCCAGCTCCCCGTGCCCCGATGAGGCTGCTGCGATGCCAAGGGCCCGGGGTCCCTCCTAAGCCAGCACCCCAGCCCGCAGCGCTTACTTCCTGGCCAGGACCCCTATTCCCCAAATCGTTGTGCCGTTCCAAATCCCACAGCACCCCAGCCCCCTGCAGTGACCTCACACGCGGCGTCCCAGCGTCCACGTCTGCAGGGCCTGCAGAAAGCAATGGGGTCCGGAATGTTTACGCTTCAGCGCCTTCTCTGCCCAAAGGGCTCCTCCGGAGCCTTCTCTCACCCACCCACCCCGGGTGGGGCCGTGGGGCCCTCTACTGGTGGCCAGTCGCCTTGCTGTTGAAGCGGAGGTTCCGACACTCTGGGCCCCAGGGACGCTCAATTACAGTGCCGGACCCTGCTTTCCTAGCCATAGCCGCCTAGAGACCCTGCCAGGCACTACGGGATGTACCGCCAACCCAGACCTGTCTCCCGCGGCCCCAGGAATCCCTCCCTGCAGCCCTTAAGCCTCCTCCCCCTTCCCCATTCTGAAGCCCTGGACCTCTCAGCTAGTGGGGACCCATGCTCCACCCCTCATGACACCCTGCCAGGCGATCGGATCCTCAAATCCTGGCCTCACAATCTCTCCAAGATTCCCCAGCTGCTGCTCAAATCAACTGGCCCTCATTCCTTCTAGCTCTACCCTCCAGTCCCAGGGGTGCAGGGGAAGGGTCTGGAAGCAGGGCAGGCGTTTGCCAAAGGCCACATCCATCTGGTAACAATGCATCCACATCCCTTTCAGAGGAATTTCTGGCTGGAAACCAAACTTGACAGTATGCACATCATGTTGGTTCATGGTCCAGGCCAGGAGTCTCCCTTCCCTATGCCTTTCTCTGAAAGTGCCACCGCCCTCGGAGACAAGCAGGAAGTGACCCAGACCTCTGCAGCACGTTCACCTTGAGTCAGGGTTTGTGAGGGCAAGACCTATCTCTGAACCTGAGGGGCCATTACATTCCCTGATAGGGAATCCGTTCAGGACCCGAGAGCCCCCCCTGCGGTTTCAAAGGCTGTGGGTCTTTCGGAAAAGCCAAACCAAACCCGCTGCCATGCAGTCGATGCGGACTCACAGCGAGCCCCTGTGCATTTCTGAGACTGTAGCTGTTGATGGGAGTAGAGAGCAGGCTCTCCTCCTGGGGCTGCTGGTGGCTTCAAACTGCCGACCACACGGATCACAGCCCTACTCGTAACCACTACACCGCCAGGGCTCCTTTGCTGGCGAGCCGCAGATAATTCTTTTTCTGCATCCTTGAGACACTAAGATGTGGAAAAACAGTTTGAAGTTCAAGTCGAAGGCTTCTTCCTTCAAGCTTGGCTAAGCATCCAGCGCTGGCATTATCAACCACCTCACACTGTCCAAGGGAGGATGCTGGAGACGTCCTCTGCAGCCACCCGGCCCAAGCTCCAGACTGACCCCATGCTCACCCCTGGGCCCCGCACTAGCCAAGACAGGGAAGCAGGGTTTCTTAAAATCACAATGCTGCTTTATTGACTGAAGGTGCTGGCCTGGGGCTGGTTCTGCTGGACGGACCACTGATGGGCGCTTGATCAGGGCCCAGCTTGGCATGGTGGGCGAGGTGGCTGGCCAATCCACGGGGCTGGGCTCCCTTGGAGGCTCCCTCCCCCAGGCAGGGTTGGTGGGCAGTGGTGCTGGCACCGCCATCTCAGGAAGGCACTTTCAGCTTTGGGGCCCCCAGGAAGAATTGCAGGATGGAGTCCACCAGGAACGCCAGGCAGAAGTCCAGGAACAGGACCAGGGCGATGACCAGCTTGAACTGGCCAGGCAGGAAGGCCCGTGAGTAGGCAGTCAGGTCCAGGCCAGCCCTTGCTCCCCATCGCCACCACCACCCTCACCTTCACAGGGAGATGCCAGGTAGTCAGGGACATGAGTGGATGGCCAGACCCAAGCTGGCCCTTGTCCCTCACTGCCACCCTTACCTCCACAGGGATATCCACCAGGCCAAACTGGCTGTTGAGGTCAGGGGAGGAGCCGAGCAGCAGGCCGGCAATGGCCAGGATGGACGCGGCCAGGCTCCACACCAGGGGCTTGTTCTCAGGCAGGCTCTCCATGAAGGGGGGGCCCTGTGGATGGGCAGGTGGAGGTTAGCTGGAGGCGGGAGTGGGGAGCGGGCCGGGGGGAAGGGCAGGGGCAGCAAGGCCTCACCCTGTAGTTGATGGCAAAGGTGGCAGTCTGCATGGCCATGGCCATGATGTACACGGTGCTGTTGACCAGGCTGGGCTCGAATTCCTTGTACAGGTCCACAAACTGCTCCTGCCTGCAGGCCGCACATGCGTGCAGTCAGGGCCTGGTCAGCCCATGGTGCCCCACTCCCCTCCTTCCCTCACCACCCAATGGCAGGGCTGTGGGCACTCACTTTGGGGGGCTCCGGGCCTGGGCCTGGCTATACAGGTAGACGAGGCTCAGGAAGTGCACGAGGAACTGCAGCATCACTGTGAGCACCGTGTACAGGTTGAAGATGTTGGGCAGCGGCCGCTCACGGGACAGGGTCTTCAGGGGCTAAAGCGCAGGGATGGGGTGGGGGGATGTCAGACCCCTGCCCACCCGCCTGCCTCCCCTTCCACATTCCGGCCTGCCTCTCCCCACAGCGGCCACAAAGGTTTAGAGACCATGACGGAGACAGGGAACGCTGACCTGAGCCCTCCTGCCCCACCACCTGCCCTCCCTCCCTTTCTTGTCACTGCGTGGCTCGTGAAGTGCCATCAGGACTGGCTGCTGCTCATCCTGAGGCTGGGAGCTCCACCCAAGGGCCTGCACTCACGGTCCACTTCTAGGTCCCCTCACCACGACCCACTCCTGCCCGGAGGCTGCCACGAACAGCCCACCTTGGAGCGGGAGATGAAGAGGAAGCAGCCGGCCAGCAGCAGGCCCTGCAGTGTGGCCTGGAAGTCGCTGAACTTGACACCCTCCAGATAGAGGACGCTCTGGCTGTAGGCCAGGATGAGGGCGTTGAGCGCCAGGATCTTGAACATCTGCAAGGTTGTCACCAGAGTGCAGCGACCCTGCTTGATCACGTGGCAGACTGGGGGGCGTGGGAAGGAAGATGAGGGGTGAGGCCACGGGATGGGGGGCATAGACTGGGATGGGGACAAGCGGGCCAGGGACAGACTCACTGCACTGGATGGACGAGAGCTTGGAGGTGAACGGAGCGGCGATGCTGGCATCCCCCAGCTTCACGATGGGCATGCTCTCGTCCTCAATGTCCCGCAACACCTGGCTCAGGCGATCCTGCAGGTTGGGGGGTGGGAGGGGTCCATGACACTGTAGCTGGGGGTACCATGGCCACCCTGTTCCAAGAAGACTCACCCGCTGAGAGGCGGACTGGTCCTCTGGGGGTGGGAGCCCCAACCTCTGCCTGGCCCCCCGTGAAGAGCCCCGGACACCACTACTCATATTGGGACCATCCCGGGGGGGCCGCCGCCGCCGCTCGACCACCCGCTCAGGGGCGTTGGCCAGGAGCGCCACACCTAAGAGGGGAGGTGTTGTCAGGAGCCAAGAGTACGCCCCCTCCAACCAACACCCCCCACCCTCCCACCCTCAGCCAGGGCTTACCCACATCGGCATGTTTCAGGGCACCCACATCGTTAGTGCCGTCCCCACACATGAGGGTCACGTAGCCCAACTCCTTCAGGCTGGTGACAACGAACTCCTATGGGTGGGCGAGGTAGGTCAGGAGGGCTGAGCAATAGCTGGTGCCTCAGGGCCCCTCACGTCCCCATCATGTCACCCACCTTCTGCTTGGGGGCCACTCGGGCGAACACCTGCACGTGGGGGATGAGACACAGCAGCTGCTGGGGGTCTGCTGTCTGCAGGTGGGCCAGGCTGTCCCCCGTGAGGCACAGCGCGTGCTCCTGGGCCAGCAGCCTCGGGGAGCCTTTGGCCAGTGGCAGCATGATGCTGCCATCGATGGAATGCCACTGGCATGGCTGACCTGCGGCCAGGGGAGGGGAAACGGGCAAGGGCTAAGGTCAGCTCCGAGCTCACAGCCCCGCCTAGCCCTGGGCCCTGGGGGTCTGCTCCCCCAGTGGTCAGGCTCCTCTACCAAGCCAATCTGGGCACTGTCCCACAGATCTGCCCTGTCCACCCAGCAGAGGACTCTGAGACCCACGTGCTCTGGGCTGGATGTTAGAGTTCAAATCCTGTTCCTGGAGGCCAAGTCCCCAGGGCCCCCGCTCACCCCTCTCTGTGGGAGGTTGCAGGATCAGCGTGTGCGCCTTGTCAATGAAATGAAGCTCTTGTGCCACGTGGCACGCGGTGAGAGGGTTGTCGCCTGTGATCATGACCACCTGGGGTGGGGGGTGGGGGGCAGCTCAGCTCAAGAGGAAGTGAGCACGCCCCCAGGTTGTCGTCTTTGGTCCCACCCTAGGACAGTGGTGGCCGCCCCAGGGGTGGGGGGTGGGGGGCCTACGTGGTGAGAAGCATTCTGGATCTCACGGATCACGGCCCTGGAGTCGGCCTTGAGCGGGCAGGACACCACGATGAAGCCGACGAACCTCAGGTCGCACTCCAGCGCCTCCCGCTTGACCTCTCGGGCCTGAGGGGTGCAGACAGGAGCCTTAAGACCCAACCCGGAGCCCAGCACCCAGCCATGGACACTCAGCAGTCTGGGTGGTCACAGTTCCCAATTGTAGGGCACCGCTTTCTGGTTACCACCACCTGACCCCCCCCGGCACCCATGCCTAGTGGCCGTTCAGGCTGGGAGGCCACAGGAGCGAGGGCCCACCACTGAGAGCAGACAGACGGGAGAGATGGAGCAGGTGAGAGCAGCTCATGCTGCTGGGTGGTGGTGTCCAGGCATGAGAGTGGCACAAGGAAAGGTCCGAGGCAGAACCACGGTTGGCATGTTGTAACAACGAGGGAACCAGTGTGGCCAGTGAGGGATATTGGGGGGGGGGGGGTCGAGAGGGAGCAGGGGAGGGCACAGGGGCTCTGAGCCCAAGGGCAAAGCTCAGTCCTGTGTTCAGAAGCCTCATGGGCAGAGGCAGGAACGTGCAGACAGACAGCCATGCGAGTGGGCGGGCTTCCTGTGGGGTGAGACTGCTGCACTGAGGCGGGCATGAGACACCAAGAATGGTTTGCTCGTGGGGCCAGGCCTCTGTGCACCCCGAGAGGAGGCTCCAAGGCCTACCTGCTGGTGGGTGAGGTGCCCCAGCTCCTTGTACCCCAGTGCCAGCACACGGGCGCCTTCCCGGGAGATCTCGGTGTGGATGTGGTGGTAGTCGGCTGGACACTGGGAAAACTGCAAGAAAAGCAAGCCGGTGTGAGTGGCTGCCTGCTGGCCTCGGCCTCGGCCCCGGCCCCGGCCCCGGCCCCAGCCCCGGCCCACTCACCATGGAATGCAGGGTTTCGGGGGCCCCCTTCACGGCTGCAATGTAGCAGAGGTCGGTGGAGCCGAGCTTCTCGTAGGAGGCGAGCACAGACATTCGCTTTAGGGCACTGGCAAAATGAAAGCGCTGGTGAATTTTCAGCCCCTGAGTTTTTATACTTCGGGGAAATACTTTCTCATCTGGAAACAAATAAGTAGGCGTCCTGAGGGGCTTCGCTCCCCGGAGGCAGCCAAGCCCCAGCCTCTCCCAGCTGCCCTCCCTGCCCCAGCGCCTGCGAGGGGTTGAGCCGGGCAGGGCTTCCCCCAGGCACAGAGCTCAGCTGGCCCGGTCGGGGGCAGGGTGGCAGAGCCCGGGGTCAAGCTCACCCTTGGTCAGGGTCCAGTCCACAGCCGTCAGCATGGCTTTTTCCAGGGGGTCGCCAACAAGCGTCCCGTCGTCAAGCTGCACGAGGGAGTGGCATGAGGCCAGGGCCCGGTGCGTTTCTACGGGGATATTGGACACGGGGGTCACCTCCTTCCCGTCTCTGCAAGGACGGGAGACAGCAGGTTGAAGCCGAGGAGCCAGCGGGCAGCCGACCAGCTGCCCTGGGAGCCACACGAGGTCCACCCCTCCCGGGGTGGGGTGGGGTGAAGTGGTTGGTAGGATGTGGATGGCCACTTCCGGTCACGGAGCAGAGCCCACCCCCTGGAGGCCTGGCAGGGGTTTCTCTCAACAACTCCCTCCAATGGGGGCTGGGCGCTGCTGGCACGACTCACCGGAGGCCTGCCACGCCTCGCACCACCAGGCTGTCGCTGGTTAGGGTGCCTGTCTTGTCAAAGCAGCACACCTCGACCTTGCCAGCGAAGGGGATCCGGAAGGGCTCCGTGCAGTACATGTCTGGAGGCAGAACAGGCCAGGGTCATGCTGGCCCCCCAGCGGCCGAGACCCACCCCCCAGCCTGGCACGCACAGAGCTTGGCCAGAGCGATGAGGGAGGTGTTGACAGCGAGGGACAGCTCGATGGGCAGTTCCGGGGGCACGACGGAGGTGAGGATCAGGGTGCACTCCAGGAAGAGCTTGTAGCGGTTCCGGCTGGGGTCCTTGGTCCCTGTGGGGGCAGGAGCTGCAGCCAGGGCAGAACTGGGCAGAGCCGGGCCCAAGAGGGTCACGGTGCTCACCTTCAATCCACACATAGGCGGCTGCCGCAATGGCAAAGACCAGAAGGAAGAGGATGAAGATGAAGGTCTCCAGGTTGTTAGCAGTCACTCTCTTGACCCCAAAGAGGATGGTCCGCAGCAGTCTGCCCTGGGGGGACACACACAGGATCGGTCTTTCCTAGGAGTGTGCATGACTCTCCTCCCTAACTCAGTGAGCGAAGGCAGTGCCCCCGCCCTGTCCACTCGGCAACATGTGTGCCCTCCCTGGAGAATGGCTTACTTCCGCCTCCTGCCCCCACCCCAGCCCCATGACACATCCCAACCCTGCAGAACCAGCAATGTCCTTCCTGCTATTTCCCGGCAGCGGCTCCCACCTGGGATGTGTTGAATCCAGTCCTCAGGACGAAAGCAACGCACCCATTGTCAACAGCTGTGGGGACAGGCAGAGCCACCATCAGAGGCAGCTGGCAGGGGGTGGTGGTGGGGGGACGCAGCGGGGACATCCAAGACTGCAGGCACCTACGCTTTAGGCCCGTGGTGGCCTTCTGAGGGGGTATATGCTGCACCACCTTGGTGCCTCCAAAGATGATGTGCAGCCGGGAGTCAGCCTGGAGGTCCAGCACCCGTTGGGGGTCCAGTTCTTCGATGGGCTCCTGGGCAAAGGCAGGGGAGATGGCACTGGAAGCACGGAGAGTCGGGCTAGGGCCAGGCTGTCCGACTGACAGCAGCAGGCTGGGCCTGAAGGCTGAGGCTGAGGGCTCCGGGTGCCCATCCACCCTCCAGCCCACCCACACCTTCATCTGTGGCACCGACTCCCCGGTGAGCATGGCCTCGTCCACGATGCAGCGACCTCGAAGCAGCAGCACGTCACAGGGCACCAGGTTCTCCTGGGGGGAGCGGCCTGGGGGGGGTGGGGGAGGGCTGAACCAAGGCACTGCTACCCCTGCCCCTGCAGCTGGCCCTCGAAGAAGCTGGGGCCAGGATGCCCCCAGGCACAGCCCTCACCAATAGAGACGATGTCCCCAGGAACCACCTTGTCGCTGGCAACAGGCCTCCACTTGCGGCTCCGATAGACCTGCGTAGAGGAGGGTGAGGTGAGTGTGAGCCTCTCTGTCCCTTGGCCACCCCCACCCCCAGCTGGCACCCAGGGTGGCACCTGGATCATGTGGGGCTTGTTGCCCATCTTTCGGATCTCGGACATGTTCCGGATTTGCTGCTGCACCAGCGAGGCCTCGAACGCCATCAGCATGGACAGGGTGAAGACGCTGTAGTACCAGTACTCATCCAGACACCAGAGCCCCACGCAAAGCACCTGCGGGGGCACGGCCAGTCCTGTCCGGTGCCCCATCCCCACCCCTTGACGGGAGACAGGGGACACATGGAGGGCTGCTGGTCCAGAGGGGGGGTGTGGCCAGTTACCTGGAACACGAAGAAAGGGGCCGTGGCCCTCTCCTTGAAGAGCTCCGAGAAGTCGGGCACCACCATCTCAGCCCTGCGGGAAGCCACACAAGGGAGCAGAGTGGTGGGGGATGCCTTCCACCTCGCTGTCCCTCAGGCCCGCACTGACTGCCCTCAGCACCCCACTCTGCAGAATTGGGGTGGGAGCTCCTCACCCTGCACCCGGCAGACCTAGCATGTGAGCCCTTCTGGCATCCTGTCACTAACACAGACACCAACAGGAACTCTGAGCCCCCAGAAATGGCACTGCAGCAAATACCCTACCTGACCCCAGAGTTCCCTGGTTTGGGGGAGGGGCGGGCTCAAGAACCCTGGAGGGCAGTGTCTAGAGCCAAACAAGCTTCTTGAGCAAAAGCCCGCGCGTGTGTGGAGGCGGGCCAGGGCAGCTTCTGGGCCCTAGCTGCGTGGGCAAATGACAAGATAAGGGTCCTGGGGGCTGGGATCCCAGTGTCCCAACAGAGTCCCATCACAACCCGAGTGGGCTGGGGGAGATGCGCACTGAGACCGGTAACACCCCCAAGGCCTGAAGAGGAGCTGTGGCAGGGAACCAGTGTGTGTCGGGTGCCGGCACGCCCCTCCAGGCTGGAGGGGAAAGTGCCCCCCAACACGTACTCTACCCAGAATGCACTGTAACAAAAATGGCCCAAACAGCTCAGCACCCACCTCAGTACCTTCTCCCATGGGGACTCCCAGAGCACCCCGGCGCAGAGGGAAGGGTAGTGGATGGGCGTTCCAGTTACAACTCGGTAGGAAACCAACCATAGGACTACAAGGGTACAAGGGCAGTCTGGACACGCTCCAGGGAAGCCTGTCGGTGGCAGGTCCCAGGGCTGAAATGGCCGACCAAGAGAGGGATCCCTCCTTCCCGCTCTCCAAACGGTGACTGTCTGGGCAGCATGCTCAGGTAGGCACTCACTCGTTGCTGCCGTACTTCTTCTCGGCTGCCCGGATCTCTGCCTCCTCCTGGAAGCCCCTGCTGCCCTGGTAGTAGGCGAAGGTGTGCCCCACGGGAAAGGCCACTGGGAGGAACTGCTTCTTTTCCAGGCCGTCGTAGGAATACGTGATTTTCTGGAACTCGAAGGACAGCACCTCTCGCCCTTCTTCATCCTGTGGCCGAGGCACGTGTGTAGCCTGGGGTGGGCGGCCCCTGGGTAGCCCTGCCAGCCCAGCTCTCGGCTCCTGGGGGACCTACCTCATCCCGGCGCAGAGCCACAAGCTCAGTGGAGCCATTGTTGGGGGTGGGCACCACCTTCACAAGCGTTGCTTTGCTGGGGTCATATTCCTGGTGGTGGTGGGGGGACTGTGGTCAGTACATCCCAACTAACAGTCCTGTGGCCTCCTGTTGTGGGCCTCATTTTACAGGTGCTCAAACTCCCTGGGATGCTAGGCACCACGGGGCAGCAGAGCAGGCACACCGCAGGCCCCCCACCCACCCGCCATGGGACTCTGGAGTTGCTCCCCTCCTTACAAGGGCCCCTTCTAGGCCCGCATGCTCCATCTGCTGGCACATGTGTCCGCATGGCTACTCCCTGCGAAGAGTCCCAGCATCCTCTGCTTGGGAAGTTGCTCTCCCGTGGTCCAGGGTGACTTCCTCATGCCCCACTGGCTCCAGATGTGGGGTGGGGTTGAGTTGTACGCTCGCTGCTGATTCCCCCCAGCACTTCAAACGGCTATTTATTGGCCCCATGCCAGGTGGGGGCTTGAGCGGTGACTGTGAGAACAAGCCCTTCCCCTTGGGGAGTCCAAAGGCCAGAGTGACAGGAACTGAAGACAGTCACAGCTACAAGCTCTGGTACAAAGTGCCAGCCGGTGCCAAGGCCTCCCAGACATCACCTCGATGTCATCAGTGGCACCCGAGGGAGGTGTTGGGGTTCTCCTGTTACAGGCGGCGACACTGAAACCCGGGGAGAAGCATCCCTGCATGAGTGGTGGCACAGTCCAGGCTGCCTCTCCTGACCCCACGGTACACCCAACCCCAGAGAGAAGTACACCATCACAATTGCTAGGCCAACACATACACACAGTCATGGCCATCGAGTTGATGCCAACTCAGAGGCCCTGTAGACAGGACAGAACTGCCCTGTGAGGTTTACAAGACTGTTAACTCTACAGGACTAATGTCCCACGCTTCCTTCATTGGTTCTTGTCAATCGAAATGAGGTGCATAAGACGCAGCTGCGTTATCTGGGGTAGATCCCTCTATCATCTTGTCCCCTCCTGGGGTCTTCCGCTGTACACAGTGAAAGCTGCCAAGCCCAGAAGGGTGAGACCCTCCCTGGGGATGAGACTTGTGGGCAAGAGTGGGATGGGCGTCTACAACTCAGAAGAGGGAAGCTGAGGCAGGCACATGCTCCCCCTTCCTGGTTCCCAGCACACTCACCCTGGAAAGTGTCTGCAGGAAGGAGACACAGGGAGTGCCCTCAGAGACAGTGCCCCTGGCTCCAAGCCTGCAGGTGTCACCTGAGGCAGGACCAGATGGCTGGCAGCACAGTCATCAGATGTCAACTGCAACTCAGGACGGCTCACAGTGGGGGCCGAGGGTCTCCCAGAGAAGCACACTGAGCAGTGACCCACCACCCACACATCCACCCAGCTCCTGCTCCTTTTAGATGTCGATCACCCGGGCCTGTGCTCACCGGGCACTACTGCTCAGCTCTGACCATGGGCACGGGTGCCCACCTTAAAACGGCCTGGATGCCACCCGACTCGGCCTGCCTCACATTCTGTTAACGGAAGGCTGAACCGTTTCCAAGTGAACGTGGACAGTTCCCACTAACAAGTGCTACCCAAACGGCCAGGGACGCCAGCTCAGGGTCAGACTCGTTTGCAAGTGCATCGCTGGTCAGTCTGAATGCCCACACCAGAGGAAGCAACCTGCACCAGGGTGGCACAGCAGGTCACAGGAGGGCCAAGACGCCTGAGCCAAAGAAATAGGACCCCGCGCTCAGGGCCCCTGGCCAGCAGAGAGGTCAGGCCAGCGGGGAGCAGGCGCAAAGGGCGCGCTC